GCACGTCTCTCAGCCTGGACCCTCACTGGTGACCTTTCCTGGGTACATTATCATTAGAGAAAGATCAATGCCACAATCCGCTGAAGCCTGTGGAGAAGATGCTAGTGAAAGGATCCCCTGTCCTCCGCAGCAGGAGCATGTCCCTCTGCTGCAGTTGGCCTCTTCCATCCAAACTCTTCTCCAGAGTTTGTCCTCCCCATGTCACTGTTCTCCTCTGGGAGTGGTATCCTTGTCTTATATCTGAAAGGCATTATAATGGATGAATCTGGATTAGCTGAGAAACCCAGAAAAAGGTCTGGAGATTATGTTTCCATTTAGCCAGCCACGTGGGCTCTGGTTTAACTCCAAAGACAAAGTGCAAACACAACAAGAATCCTAGACAGCATGTGTCAGTCATGCTCATTTTAACTAAGTGCATCTCCCACAAACCATTTAATTACTTATTTCTATGCTTGGAGCATGGCTGACTAATTTGAGAAGGATGCTGAGTGTGTGGAGTTTATTTGGAGCTACCCAGCACGGCACACCAGGCTGTACTTTGCCTCAAGTGATTTTCTTTTTTGAACTCCAACAAACCCACCAGGAGCTAGGACAGGCAGACCCAGGCTTCACTGCATCAGCCTACACCATTTTTCCCTCAAAATCATCTCCTACCCATTTCTGACAAGCTTGAATCCTAGGCCTGGGTTCTCAGCTGTTGTAAACCCAGAGCATAAAACCAATGTGCAGAAACACCAGTTTGCTAGGAGCAAAGGTTGAGAAACGGTCAAAACCATTACAGTCTGGTTAAATGAGACTAGGTAGAGGGCAGGAGAAAGAAAGAGGTTCTCCCACTGGAGCTGGGGGAGAGATGCTGTCCTATCCAGCAAATACACTTAGTGTTTCCATCTTGGTCATTTTTCAAAGAAAAAAGCAAAGCCCCTTCCAGCCTATTTAATAGCTTTGCAATTAAGACACTCTTCCGGGTATAGGAAAATTATGTCGAGGATCTACTGAATCAGGCAGCACGGGGCACATGTTCCCACAGCTCTGGGGAAAGCTCTGGTATCGCACAAGGATTTCTTTAGATTTCCTTCTCTTCTGGAAGTTTGGCAGCTTCCTAAAAACATCTTTGTTGAAACTGGCCTGTTCTTGCAATGAATCAGAGTTTTCTGTTGAAAAGCAGCCGAGCAGGACAAGTCCCCGACCACCTTTACAGATGAGACCCCTCTTGCAGGCGGGGGAGGAAAGGCACATGGAGACACAACGTGCTGCAGACCACACAGGAAAGCCAGGCAGAAAAGAATTAGTGCCTGACTCACAGGACATCCCTTTCCTACCAGTTTTCTTGTCTTCCTGATTGCTTTCACCCTTGGTGGGCAGATTTCACCCTCACCACTTACAAGACTGCTTCCCAGCCACTTCCCCAAGGCTCTTGCAGGAGAAATTAGTTGTGGGAGGGCTCTGATTTTTGGTGTAAACAGGGCTATCGCAACCTTGAGGCTAACACTGACAGGGTGAAGCAGTAGTTATGATTTTCTTTTGGAGGGGGGCTCGCATAACAGTGTTTGGGCTGATGATGAAAATTTTCCTTAGCATTGGATACAGGCTGGTGTAGACTGCATCCTGCCTGCTTGGGAGCCCCACAAGCTGCTAGTTGGCACCTCAGCTATCACTCTCTCCTGGATATGATGCTTTCCAAAAGAAAGTTTGGCTGAAATTGGTGCTCTCTTGCCAGAGGTGCCTCATTTTTCACCCCATGTGCCAAATCCAGGGGAGGCAGCATTGAGCTGAAGGCATTGGCATCGCTTGGCCTTGGTGACAGGCCACCCTCCAAGCCACTAAGACATCCCCAGGGTGTGCCCCCTCATGCTGGCTTGCCTTCCCAGCCAGTGGCCACAGCTGCCCCAGGCAGGTGGGGAAGACTGGCCATACCATCCTTGCTGCACTACTCATCCCTGGGCTGCACCGTTACTCCTTTCCACCTGGCTCTCACCTCTTCCTCATGCCTCGATTCACATCAGGGCTGGTGGCCATTCCACCAGCCCTCACACACCCCCAGGCTGCTGAGCGGGGCCATCATTGTGTGACACGAGGCACATCCATTCCTCCCCAGCTGAAAGTGCTGCCTCTGCAACAACACGTAATTTAATATTAGCGCAGTTCCTCTTTATTACAACCTTGAGAAAGCATCCCTACTTATGTGCTCTTCCTCCCTTGCGAAGGCAATGGAGGGCAGCTCTAGCGGGTGCTGGAGCAGGGTAACGCTCTCTGTAGGCGGTTTTTTCACGGAGAAACAGCAGTCCTAAGGAAAGGGAGGCTCAAGCCCCACAGAACAGAAGGGGTGCGAGGGGGAGCACAGCACAGCTGCTGTCTTTGCTGAGGTCCCTGCCAAGGACAGCCACAGCTCACCTGGAGGAAAGGGTTCAGCCAGCCATGAGTCCTCAGGGGAGGGCAAGTGGGCAAAGAGGTTACTGCACAGACGTCCCGGAGTGGAAGTACACCCCATTGGCAAAGGGAAACAGCACTCGTTAGTGAGGGAGGACATCCAAAACACCAGCCCAGTCCTCAGCAGGGTTGGGGAACCAGCAGGCAGCAGCGTTCACCCAGAGCTAGTCCTGCTTGCAAAGCTAATCACACCCCTCAGGCTTGTTCCTCATCCGAGCACTGACACGCATCCATGCTGCTCTTTGCAGACTCACCTGGCTCATCCCAAAACAAGCAAAATTCACCTTCACCTGCTTCTGCTCCTCCCCAGCAGACAAACACATGCTAAGGGCTGTCAGGCACCTCTGGTGCTTTTATTGCTTGACACTCGTTGCAGGTGTGTGTCGTAACACTAGTTGCAGGTGCACAGTGTAAGCCCGTCTCCGCTCCTGCGCTGTCACCACGAGACAGCTCCCCAGATGTTTGGGTATTTAGCAAACAGACTTTTCAGACTCTCTGGCAACTTTTTCCCGTTTGATTCCAATTGATATTTGTTGCTGGGTGAAATGGAGCGTGGAAATGCTCCGCACCCTCCTCTACCCCCACCTCCAGGGCTGCCTTCGGTGCTGGGACCGATCCCTTGTGTCAGGTATCCAGACCTTGCACCGGGGCAAAGGATGGGGAAGGTGGGACATTGCCCAGATTTGGCTCTGACCTTTATGCCTCAGGTCATGCCCGGTGGATACGGGAGGAAAGACGCTGGTGAGGGAGCACGTGCGACAATATCATCCATTGACTTTTTCCTGTTCTCTCCTTTTTCACCCTTTCTGAAGGTAACACAGCTGAGAGCAGCAGCAGATCGCTTCCCGGGGCAGCATATCAATTGCTGCAGCTCCCATCCGCCGTTGTCACATGGAGCTCAAGGTCAGGAACGGTGGCTTTTCGTGTCTTCAGCTGCGTAAGCAACTGATGGCTCATATGACTTGGGGCCGAGGCTGCAGTGGGGTCAGGGTTTGACCTCCAAAACGTGGCTCTCGCCGTAGGGTGGGATGACTTGCCTTCTCGAGAGGCTGATCTCTTTACATTGTCTATACCCCTGGACCAGACAACTCGCTTTAGGGTGGCTAAGAAAAGATTTAATCAGCATATCAGGGAAAAGATTGACTCTTCTTTCACTGGTGAAAAAATCCTAGTATATCATGGACTAAATAATAATATGGCATTTATTTTAGTCTGCTATTCAACTTCTCAGTTTTATATAAAGCTACAGATAACCTAGAAAAAGAGAGTCTGCCTGCAGAAGAAGGAAATCTATGGATTTCTTAAGACTTATTTCTGGACAACGTATTAATCACTAATTGCCCTAGGGCTTGAAGGGGAAAAGTCAGTATTCCAGCAAAGGGCAATAACCCTGTAAGGCAGAGGCAAAGGCTCGCCAAACCCTGAACACCAAGAGGCTGGTCAGGTTTGCTCACGTCCGGTCCGTGCGGCGGGTCGCGCCTGGCACGCTGCACATCTGGCGTTGCTCTGTGCCGCGGGGGATGCTCCAAAGTTTTGGCCAGATCCGGGCTTTGGGAGCCGGTTGGGCCATTTTGTTGTATTATATTTTTAAAAACATATAATGTTATGAATATTATTTATGTCTCCGAAAGGATTCAGGCACGGAGTGATTTAAAAGTGCAGGTTCTGTTCTCAGCTCTTTTCGCCTCTGCAAAAAACCATGCGCGCGCACGCCTGCCTCTGCGTGCTGCGACTGCAGCAAAAGGCTGCGGGGAGACGCGGGCCCCGGGCGGGCGCCCACTGGCGCAGTCCTGGCACGCGGGACGTTTTCGGAAAGCCCCGGGGCAAGGCGGCAGAGAAAGGCAACGCGAGCTGCCCGCGGGCGAAGGGGAACTGCCACCATCACTACGTAAGCCAGGAGACCTCGTCACGAGGCACCTGCGTCTCACGGTCCCGCTGGGCCACGGAGGCAGCGATCGGAGGCCACGCTGAAGTCCTCCCCGCCTCGTTCCCTCCTCTTCTTTTTAAGTACTCCTTTTGCTGGGTTTCCATGGAAACCAGCGGGTGCACATGTGCGAGCTCCGCTCGGCGCTGTTTCCGCCCTCCGGGAGAAGCCGCTACACCGGCTCTTCTCAGGGCTGCGCACATCTCCATCAGCCCGTCTCCCGTGCCGCCTTCCCACCCGCGGCGGGGCAGATTCCCGCAGCCGCTACCAGCGACGTCTCCCCAGCAGCTCCTGCATCGCACCCGTCCGTTAAGTCCTCGAGGGCTCGTCGTATTTTTCTCGCCCGCCAGCAGCAGGTGAAGAGACGCCGGGCAGGAAACGTTCCCACCTGCTCAGTAATTTGGAGGAGCTCCAAATACGCCCTTGCCTCCCGCGGGGCCGCAGTTTCCGCTTGAGCACGGCCGCGGTCGAGCGCATGGGGGAACCAGCATCCGGGTCTTCCCCAGCCTCTCCTTTCGTTTGAGGATTTCCTGCTGGAGTTGCCTCTCTGCAGCGAGCAATGGGTTGACTTTGGCGGACGGCGCCGCAAAGCACGGCGGGAAGTCCTCCAGAGGCACACCCCGGAGCTGCCCCCAGCACTGCTGCCGCGATGGTGTTGGTCACCTTTGCCCGCAAAGCGGCACCTGCTCCAGGGGCCCCCCCCGGATGCAGGCGGATGCAGGGTGGACGCAGGGACGAAGCAAGACTTGCGTTAGTAGCTGTCAAAAGAAGGGACGTGCACAAGCAAAATAAAATATATAACCTTCCCCCAAAATAACCATGGTGAAACTTCGTCCCCCAACACTGCCAGTTGTGTCCTGCTGTTCAGTGTTTTAAAGCTGCATTTCTGCACACAGTGAAACTGCCGGCTCAGGCCTCAGGATCTGCTTTTCTGCGAAAACGCCCCCCGTTCCAGCCAGCCTGGGATGCCCAACGCCCACGACAGGATGGGGCACATCTCTCTCTCGACTGCTGGTGCCTCCTGGAGGGCCCCTGTGTCTGCTAAGGGAATGTATGGTCTGGGACCCAATTCCTGAGCTACCGGAAACGCTGCCCAAGGCTGTATGCACACCGTGGTGCGCTGACAACCCTCTGAGACCATGTGAGATGATGCTGGGCTACGGAAAGAAACCAGATGAATAAAGTTGAGATGAGGAAAGATCCACACACAATGCTTTTTATGTACCACGCTGCCCCCAAACCTCAAACAGAGATTTTAGGCAAATAAACAAAGCCCTGCTCTGCTTCCCCGAGCCCCTTCTCTTCCCTAACCTTGCATTTTCCTACCTCCGAATCCCCTGCTTCTGGCCAAGGCTGAGTCACCTGCGGCTGGAAGTAGGAAGGAACCAGAACGGTCCCTCGTGAAAAGCTGGCTGCTGCGAGCGCGGCTGAGTTGGGCAGGCCCGAGTCGTTTGGGGAGGGTTCAGCCCAGCGTCCAAACTTGCAATCTGTGCACTTCTCAGTTCTTCTATGAGGCCTGGGGAAAGCAGATAGGAAAAGCAAATCTATCGTCAGCAGGCTTAGGTTCCCGCTGCGAAGGCCCAGACCTCTGCTGGGAAAGCTTTAGGGATTGCAGTGATTAAAAGGTTGCAAACAAACTGCTTTTTTTTCGATGGCTCCTGGCTCCTATCTGGGCAAACATCCCTGCAATTATTGCTATTAATATTTGTACTAAAGCTGGGTGCCTGCACCTGACTCCCTCCTCCAAGAGGAGGCATAGAATAGCTGAAGGATTATTTTGGCTAATGGGGAGGAGAGTGCATAGGGAGAGGGGGTGGTTTTAGTCCCCAAGAGCAGCTATGGGAGAGCCGGGGGGGATCTGGCCCTGGCTCCCGCACCAACATCACGCCCATCAGCTCAGTGACTTCCTTACCTCCTCCTTCCACAGATTCAGTCCACAGATTTTAATTCATTGTGGTGGACGAGCCCAAGCCAGCGCAGAGCCCGGCTGCGCGGCAACCCGCAGAGGCACGTTCTCGCTGCCGGGAACGCTCGGGCTCTTCCGGGCAGGTGCTGCATTGCCTCCTCTCCCTCCTGTGGGCATGTGAAAGGACCTGATGAGTTTAACACGCGTTTCCCCACCACGGCTGCCTTCCCAGGTCCAAGAGCTGGTAGAGGGAGCTAGGCGTAAAGCTGTGCCAGTCTACCTGCTCCTGCCCCAACTGGGTATACTGGGAGCCAACCGTGGTGCTGGCCCAGCACCCTCACTCCCTTCAGCCTGCCGCTCTCCCCAGGGTGGCGGCGCGGCGGTCTCCAACTGTGGCTGGAAAGGCATGCTGGTGTCCCCACGCACTCGTGACAGGTATTTTGACACTGACGTGCCGAGTCTCCGCAGTGCTGCTCACGCGTCCCGGCTGAGTAGCACTTGCGAGGTGCAACCTCTGCTATTAAAAGTACCCAGGCGCTTGTTGCTGGGCAGGATCTGCACAGTGGCAGCGAGGCTGCTATTTAACCACGTTACGCAGCCATGTAAGAAGGGCCGCGCGCTTTGAGCAGCTCGGGGGAAGATATCGCGCCGGCTCTTCTCCATCCAGCGGCGCAGAAGTGATTTAACTGCTTTGCGGAGCCAGACTGCTGAGAGAGCCAGAGCTCGCTTCCCCGGGGACAGCCGTCCCTGGGCTCGGAGGGCCGGGAGCCGCTTCGAAAGCACTTCTTAGTGTTTTCTAACTTCTCCAGGATCTGAAAGCCCTGTAGTTTTCCTATCGCTACTAAGCCTTGAGCCTTTTACGAATTCTGCTCACTTTCTCAAACTATTCACTCTCCCCTCACATTTGCAGGCCTCGCTCTGGTCGTTCTTCTCTGCTCCTTCTCCGCTATTAAATCAAGGATAATTCTGCAATATTAAATCGAGTAGGAATCTGCCATCTTTCCTGGGTTATGAGACCTGCCAGAGGAAAGCTGCTCAGCTGAACAGTGAACTCTTTCTCCTTCCTCCTCGCAGCCAGCAATGCAAACTCAGCTGGCAGCTAGCAGGACGTGTTTTTTTCTGCTTCCCACCCTGGACGTGAGAAGACAAGAGCTCTCCCGGCCACGTCCGGCGCAAACTCGGCCCCACTCCTCCGTCGCTGCCTACAGCCTCGCCAAGGGACGCCAGGTCCGAAATACAGTACTGTCATACGGGCTGCCATGGGAAACACGGGTCTCCGCCAGCGAGGCAGAGCCCACAAGCTGAAGCGCACCGAGGCGACAAACATCTCACCGTGGTCCTGCAGCAGCCCTGCCACCTGCACCAGAAGGCAAGAGGCACTAAAGAGCGGGGAGCGTCCCCCAGCAAACTGGCCCGAGTTGCCCAGGAACCTCTCCCAGGAGTTCAACCTCCATGGCCAGTGTGTCTGGGAAGAGGCTGAGGGTGTCCTGCATCCTCAGAAGCGGCATGGGATCCCCCGGGCAGGCGCAGGGGAGCTTGCAGGGAAAGGAGCCAGGGTTGCCCAACGACCCGCATCCGAATCGCCACGGCAGAGCTGCGAGAGCGCCGCAGTGATTTGTTGCAGTGCTATCAGTTGTATCGATGCTGACACGGCTTTTTAGACCCTCTTACAAACCCTGCGGGTATGTAACGCTTACCCTAGGTAAGTGTTATCTCTAGGAAGAATAATAAACCCAAACATCCGAATTCAAGAAACAGCACAAGAAGAGGACATAAAACATTCAAAGAGGGGGTATTGTTCCCAGCTATTTCCAGCAGTCTGGCTATATTCATCTTAAATTTAGATAATGCAGCTATACTGGGAGATGCAGGAAAGTGATGATTTTAGGGGAAGTGTTAACATATTTACCCATACCAAAAGGCAGATTGTTTTTATTTGGGGTGTCAGTATTATTTTCTTGACCGGTGAATGAATTCGGAGACAACCTCTATCTTGACATACAAACATCTGTGTTTCCAAAACCGTTATGTCCCGTACAGGGGTCATTCAAGCCTTGCAAGAGCTCTCTGCCTTCCCTCAGTGGGATGAAGTACTTGTCTGGGGACATTTCATAACCCTGCACGCTCCCACATCACGTCCTAGAAAGCAGCGGTCTGACTAATTACCCTCCATGGGGAAAGAAACCAGCTGCCATAGGAAACTCTGAGGTTGGTGAAACTTGCTCTGTTTGTGGATGGTTACTTCCTAAATCCCAAACACTAAATTATTTAGGTATGTGCTTATGCCTTAAACATGTGGCTAATACTATTGACTGCCACAGAACCTGGGGAAGTCAGCTTGTTAAACATGCACCTAGGCACTCACACCCTCAAACAGGAGCTAAAAGGTAAAAATACTCTATATATAAAGGCAAGAGCATACTTTCATTTTTTAAAATGCTGCCTTGGACTTGGAAGCTTCTGAAACTCAGACCTTTTGTGCTGCTTCACTGCTGCCTTTCCTTTCTGGTTTAATAGTCTGCAGTAAGGATGCCGCGTCCTTGTCCCCACAAGCACTGAACCTTGTATTTATCTCCAGAAAATTGCTATGCAATGCAAATTACTTCATTTCCAAGAGTGTGGTGTGGATGGAGCACATTTTCAATGTGCAGGGCAGAGAATTAGGAACAGCCTCCGTCATTCAGAACCGCTGTGTGCCAAGGGGGAATAAAAGTTTCGTACAGAATTAGAAACACGGTTCCCTTTCCTGTGTGTATATTTGTGTTCTGTGAATACAGCCAAAAAAAAAAAAAAAAAACACCCTTGGCAAGCACTCATTCACTTTGAATGAATTTGCTTTGACTGCCTGCGCACAGTTCCCGCATTTGCAGCCCGGCCAAAGAGCGTCCTGCTTAGGGGCAGCGAGCGGCGAACAGGGCGAAGACAGAGCCAGCGCAGCCGCGGTCCTGGCGCGTCAGCAGGGAAGCCCCCATGCTGGAGAAAAGACTCATTGCCGCTGGGAAAAAGCGGATACTTTGCTATTCTGACGCACGCAAAATGCTTGACAACCCTTTGCTGGCTGTGGCACTTCGGCTCACGCTGCACACTGGTATTTTCCTGGTGTTGCCCACTTCTCCCGAGTTAGTCCATCTGTATCTATCAGCTCTCCTGTTTTACACATAGGCTATAGGCTCCTTAGTGCAGACAGGGGCTTTCTGTGCGTAAAATATCAGGATGCTAATCTAGAACTGATGCGCTGGAAACCCAATGCTCCAGGAGCATATCTTGATGTGTGAAGTGCAACACCTCCCTGTGCGATCCCTCTGTTTGAACAGCACTAGTCAAAACACCTCACATCTTGCATTTCATGTGCTGGGTATCGGTAATGAACTTCCTTCTGCATTTTGCCTAGTTCAAAAATTGCCTGCTGGAGGGTGAAGAGAACCAGAACATCTTCCCTGCAGCTTGCAAAGAGAGAGGAAGGAAGGGCTATGCCAAATAAATCATTCACACCCCAGCCCAGGCTGGGCGCTCGTGTCGGCATCTGAAGAAGGCGCCTCCCTGCGTAACTCCCGTGACTGTAACTGCAGAGCTGGAGACGGACCTCCTGGAAAGCCAGGGCCACCGGGGCCAGGAGCCTGTTCCTTCACACGTGGAGCAGCACGGCTCTGGACCTGCCCCGAGGAGGCTCACGCGTCTCCTCCAGCAAAAGCACCTGCAGACCCCGACCCTGCGAGCACTGAGCACGCTTTCAGTCGCAGAACAGCACCTTAGTGCAGACCTCACACGCCCTAGCTTAACTGCCAGACAAAAGCCAGAAAGCCGAATCTCATGCCAAGTTAGAAGTCCAGGAAAGAGGAACTAAATAAACATTAAATATCTGCACAGGGCAAATATATATTATTGACACCAGTGAGATGCCAAAGTCTACTGATTTGCAGCTGTACGCATGTTCCTGAAAAGATAATTATCCTGTCGAGTTCCCAGCTCTTGATGACGCAGAAAGTAAACTGAACTTTCCTGCTTGTGGCTACATAAACACCCCGAGCAGATAAAGAGTCATACGCAAAGGGCTCCCGATGGAGAGGAAACAGTCAGCAATCCTCTTTCATGAGAAATGAGATTGGGAGTATGGTAATCTCCTAAATGGGCATGGCTGATGCATTGATAAACAGAACTGCTTTTTATTATGGTGATGTGCTCAAGAGGAAGAGCATAATCCCACCCAACTGTTCGGGAGGTCACTGCCTGCCCTCTTCCCCCCTCACCCAAATCACCCTATTAGTCTGATGGGAGCAAATGAGGCAGATGTCCCCGCACGGTGTTGTGCAACGTCACCACACAGCAGCAGGGCATGCAGGAAGCAGGCAGCAGCTTTGCATCTTTATCTGGGGACAACAGCGAGCTCCTGCCCCGGACGAGAGGAACGAGCTTGAATTTCCCCAGTTGCAGCTTGCGTCCTCTGGTTCCATCCTCCTGAGCACCACTGGAAAGAGTCTGGCTCCGTTTTCTCCCCTCTTGGTAGCAGGAGCAGCAGTGAGACTCCCCCTATAGCCTTCCCTAGACTGAGCAAACTCATCCCCATCAGCCTCTCCCCATATGGAGACGCTGAGACTCAGTTTACACCCTGGAGCCGAGCACCGGGGCTGCATAGCCCCTGCGTGGCTGGGGCCGGCAGGCTGCAAGGAGCGGGCTCAAGGGGGCTGCAGCATCGCCTCCAGCTGAGCCGTACTCGAGGAAGCTGCAATGCTTGTAAGGTGCCACGTGCAGAGGCAGAGCCATCCAGAGGCGACTCAAAACCCCGCTCGAGGGCCTAAAGCCACAGGGCACATTTTTTCACGTTGTGTCTTTGCACACTAACCCCTCCAGCACTGCACAGAACAGGCTTCGCAACCTGCTGCATGCGGGAACCCTCACCCGACTGCCAAAAAATATAGGCTGGAGCTGAGTTAAAGACAAAGGACAAAACCCCACCTTATGTATTTTTTTTTAAGTCTTAAACCACAGGGGGGAAAAGGCCATGCAAAAAGCTCCAGGCAGTATGACAATTAGTGACATGCTAATGAATACCCTGCAGCATCGAAAAGCCATATGAACATCACAGACCCAAAGCACCAGCCACATCAAAGAGTTATAAACAGCACCGAATTAAACCATCCAACCGGCAAATCAAAGCAAGG